GCTCACAATTGCCTGCATGGATGTATTGCACACATACACACACTCAGGTACACATACACACACATAAAATTAAATAAATCTTAAAAAAAGAGATCCTAACCACTCCACTATTCTGTCCCCCTACTTTGTCTTTTAACACATACCCATGGTAGATGCAGTAAGGACCCCCAAATCCAAAGTGACAACAGGGGCAGACAGAGTTGGGCCTCTGTTCCACAAGTTTAGAAGAGCTCTCAGAGCCTAACACCAGACAGGGATGCCAGATCTCTATCCTGGAGCTGGAAGCTTGATTTCCCACCTGGTGAAAAAAAATTCCTGGTCCCCCAGAGATGAGCATTTCCCACAATGCCCTCTGAAACCCCAAATAGCCAAAGAGAAGTCTCAGGCCCTGAGAACATGGGTAGGGACATCAAGCCTCCCCATGGAAAAGATTGAGAACCAGCCTATCAGCTTGGCTGTCTTCTACAATGGACTTGAATGTGGCTGACCCATAGGAACCAGGCAATCCTTTCCAGCCAGTCCAAGGTCACCCACGGCAGGAAAAACAATGGGCAGTGGGTCCAGTCATGACCAGAATCTGAACAAAGGCTTGGCACTTCCTCACGTTGAGGCCCCTCCTTCAAGGTTTGCCAAGGCAGGCAAGCTGAGGAAGCCCTAGTGTGGCTGCGATATTTTGCAGGCTGTTTCCTGGGACAGCTGTGGCTGCTAGATCCACCAGAGATGCAAACAGAGCGCACAGCTGCTCCAGGCCTAACCCTGCCTGTCTGGAAGTAGGAGAAACAGTGGGACTTGAGTCCAGTACACAGCCCCATGGTTCTCCTGAGTACCTGACTAAGCTTTCTGAGCCTTGGTGTCTTCTGCATAAAACTGGAACCTCACAGCATTCTAAGATAAAAAAGTGTATATATCCTGTTTCTCACATCATGGGGGCTCAATAAATGCTTGTCAGTTTTTCCAATGGGTACAGAAAAATCTCCTTGGAAGAGCAAGCTTCTACTTTAGGGCTTGAGGGACAAGTGGATAATTGAGTAGATGATCATTCCAGTTGGAAGGCACAGTAGGAGCAAACAGACCATATAGTCATGATGTCTGTCCATCTCATCCTGAGTGAAGAGAGTGGGATGCTTAGAGGACCAGTGTCAGGGAGCAGAGAACAGGTGAAGGCCTCAGAATGAAGATCAAGGTGGGGTATTTTAATGGGAAAGGCAATCTGCTCAGAGCTCTGTCAGATTTTTCCTGCAGATGAGGCATGCATAGGACAGAGGCAGGGGATTGGTGGATGGACACAGGGAACAGGTGGGGAAGAGATGTGTGGGTAGAGTGGGAACGTGCTGTGCTACCACAGGCCCTATGCAGGGTCCTTACGTGACCACTGACCTGTCAGAGGATCCTAAAAGTTGGAGGAAGCAATCAAATCGGGCTGCCAAATCTTTTGGCAGGTATTTGGCTCCACCCACCAGAGTTCTCCCTCCTTAATCATGCCCTAATCCTCATGGGGCTGTGGGAGTTCTGATTATCAGGCAAAAATGCTTGGCATGTGTGATAATGGGGATAGCTTCATGCAGACTGCAGGATTTGGGGGGAGGGGCTAATGGTATGGTCGGGCAGAACTTGGGTGCTGGGCAAGGACCTAGGCTCCTGGCAGCTCTAGCAGCACAGAGAGGGCTCAGGGTCCCACTGGGCAAGCTAAGGGCTCAAAGTAGCTGAAGCCTGCAGGTGGCTTCTCTTTGCATGTTTTCTCTTGTGCTCTTCCTCACAAACATCCACTGTGCCAATGCAGTAGTTTAAAGGGCATGCTTCTCTGCCTTCGCAGAGGAGCAAACTGAGGCCTCTGGAGACATTCTTAAGGGCCCTCTTGAGGGTTTTCTTTTCTGTGTAGGGCTCTTGGAAGCCAGATCACCACCACTTGGGCCGAGGTGAGTACAGCCTACCTCTGTGTCTCTCCTGCCTCCCCTTCAGCCCCAGGTGAACTCCACCCATTAGAAACCACAGCAGCAGATTCTCCAGGAGCCATCACTACCAAAGCCTTCCATATTGTTCCATGGGGTCCTAGTCAGACAGTCCCATGTCCATCTGTCAAATCCTATCTGTCCCATGGACTGTCTCTAAGGTGCTCCTTTGGAAAGCCCTCCTGGATCAGTAGTGGAAAGTATTCCAAGTTCCTCATGTTGACTCCTCCTGTCACCACTGCAGATTCTTTGGTCATGGTCAACAGGCTTACTTTTCTTACACACACACACACACTCAAATATGCAAATGCCCCTGTGCCCCCCATCTTTAGCATTTGTCTCACTTTCTTCTCCCTGGGCCTAGGACTCTTCCTTCCCTCTTCCCTGAGTTGCTGATCCAGCCCAAGATTCTATTTGCGGGTTACATAGCCCCAGCCGGTCTCCACTGAGTCTGCCACTAAAGGCTGGGCTGGGACAGCTCTGTCATCTAAACCGTTGGTTCAGGGTGTGGTTCTGAGATTAAACCTGCCTCCTTTCCTGTGGCCCTCGATAAGGGTGATCCTGGGTGCTTATCTGTTTCTTTTCGGGTATTATTGGCCTTTTGCTGACTATGAGGACCAGCAATTCCCTCCTCTCTGGGAAGCACTGGGTGATAAGCAGTTACTTCCCTGCTCCCTTTTAAGGCACTTCAGATACTTGGTGTCATCACCATCCCTGGGCACTGCCCAGTTCTGCCCCTCCCTGCCCCAGCACTGCAAGAACCTGGGGCATGATTAATAATTGTGTGAATAGCTATTGCTGAGCCTGGGAGCCTTGTTCTGAGGGAGGATTGTTCAGTATTGATTTCCCAGTCTCCTGTCCTACAAGCCACAAGCTCAAACCCTTCTTGCATGACTCGGTGAGATGGAGCAGTCAGAAGCTTCCTGGAGGGGAAGGAGTAAGGTAGATGCTAGGAGAAAGGTGGTGAAGAGGGGCAGAGGGTATTCCAGGTAGATGGGGCAGGGGCACAGCTGTCAGGGGGAAGGGACCTAGGGAATCCAGGGGTGGTGGGAAGGTTAAGGGTGTCAGAAATAGATCCAAAAGGACTTTAAATATCAGGTTAAGGAGCTTGAACCCTCCTATGAATACTAGGAAGCCACAGAGGGCTCTAAAAGTAGGGCAGTGGTGGGTCCAAGCTGTGAACAGAAGACTGAGATGTGAGTAATATGATAGTAGAGCAGAGAGAAGAGGGCAACTTCAGAGATAGGGCCATGGAGAGGAGAAGATGGGAGAGAGGCAGCCCAGGTCACACAGTGGAGAAGCACTGCATCAGGCTGAGGCTGAGGTATCTGAACCTTCAGGCAGCTGCTTGAACCTCTCATACCTAAAAAGTGATTCTCTCACACATCCCTCAGTCCTTTATGAAAATCACAAACCTCTAGAGCAGAGCCTTTCAGACTCTCTCATTGATTTTATTAAGATGCAAATTCTGATTTGGTAGGCCTGAGGTGGAGCCTGAGGATCTCCCTGGCTGAGAAATGCCTAGTGTCCAGAGTCCAGAACAGGGAAGAGTCCTCTGTTGCTGTTGCTGCTTAGCAGAGCCGGGAGCCTGTAGTGGGGCCCTTTCATTCTTAGCCCTCAGAGCAGGCTGGCGGCCCTACTGCTCCTTGTCCAGTGCTGTCCCCATCCCTGTGACAAGGTCTCAGGACATCCCTAGCCCTGACCTAGTTCTGACCCCTTTGAGCCCTTGCTGTCCTGGAACTTTTCTCTATGTGGCCCTCTAAGGAAGTAAAGACATTGTGCCATGCCAGCCATTCCTGCCCTCCTAACCATGGCTGAAGGTGGACACTGTTGTGGCTGCAGCTAGCAAGGGTGTTGTTCTAGGAGAGAGGCACAGCTATGGGGACAGTAAGGGCCATGTCTCTGCTCCTAAAGTCAAGCAAGACAGGCTCCAAGACATTCCTTGAAAGCTTGCTGTAGTCTGCAGAGTGTGGGTCATGCTGGAAGGAACAGCACCTGGGGAGAGAGACAGGAAAAGCTGAGGTGACAGAGTACACAGTCAGAGCCAACTTGGAAGTGATCCACCTCCTGCGTGTACAGCAAAGCTATGCTGAGGCTTCACGTGGCCCTCATATGGATCCCACAGAGGAAGACTCAGGGGTCCCATGAATTGAATAAAAGAGATGTTGGCCCCCTTAGAGGAGCTGGCCTACTATAAGAAGTAGGTGGAGGGTGATGCCCTGATTCCACAGACACCCCCACCCCCTAGCATAAGACATCCCCTCAGAAATGAGGGAGCCTCTATTACCTGTGTGCCCCTAGGACAGTTGCATCATACAGGTAAGACCTTTCTGCCTGATCCTTCTTCCCTGGAGGAGGCGGCAAGGGATCTGGAGAACTCGTGGGGGCAGTGCTGGAAAGTGAAAACTACTAAAGCACCTCTCCCAAATGGCTACTGCAGGGCAAGGAGGCCTTTCCTCATTAAGTTTGGAGTTGAACCATCACACTGTTCCTATATTCTTCATAATACCAGAAGAAGACAAGAATTGAGACCTGTTTGTTCATCAGAGACCAAAGAAGAAACACTGTAGAGGGAAGGGAGTCCGTGGGAAGAGACCGGCCAGCTTGTTCAGTAACTGTCTGAAGTAGAGCCAGAGAGACAGAGGCACAAGCCTGGCCTCTGGGAAGCCAATCAGCTCTAGGGCACTTTGGGGAGGGAAGTTGGGAGAGGGAGTGGCCAAGGTTATGGACCCTTAACACACATATATGAGAACACAAAAGACTTCAATACAACTTGGGAGAGACCTATGGGTCACTGAAGCCTAGCCACCACATCCCTGGAAAACAGAGCACCCAGAGGCCGAATGCTCACTTGTGATGAGGCGTGGCCTGCATTCCATTCTTATGGCCTTGATGGGGCTGCTGAAGGTTTGATCTGGCTTCTTAGCTGGGAGTGGCAGTGCCTGGCTTTGCCCACCTTCTATTCCTGGGCACCACACTCCAAAGATCTGCATCTGGGCTTCTAGAAAATCAAGCTTTGTGCTCTGCTGGAATGAAACTTCTGGAGCAATGCTGGGAACCGTTTATTTTCACTAGCCCTGCCAAAGAGCCTCTGGCAAGGAGACTATGTGGGTTTCACTGAAAAGACACTTTTCCTCCCCAGGCTGATAAACAAGGTCACTGCAGGGAAACCAACTTCCTCGGCCAGACACTCTGGAGCGTCCCATCCCTGGCCAAGGAAAACAAATGCATAAACATTTGGAGGAGATATAGGAAGCATTTCTGCTGGAAACCCACTGCGAATGACCACCTAGGTTTACACAGCGAGCCCCATGGGGCCTGGCACAGCAGGAGAGGGCCATCCCGCCCGCCCATTCTCTAGTGCAGCTGGCTACTCTCCACATCCCCAGAGATGTGTTAGGCTGTTGCACATACCCTGTCCACAAGAACACAAGTTCTGCAGTTGCCCACACCAAATGCCTAGCTCTCTAAAGGAAGGGGTCTCTCTACAGCCAGCACTGTCAGGCCTCAGAAGAGTGAGGATCCTAAAATCCCATGTGGACACAGGCTAGGTATGGGCTGCCATGAAGCATCTTTGACTCCCTTAGGTGTCTTAGTCCCTGTGTGTGAGCATCCACGGCCCCCAAGGTTCTGTAGGCTCCTCACCTAGACAGCCATGTGACAGGGTCTTTGAGGGCTAGAGCACTGCCTCTAGGCCCTTCTTGTGAGCCACTGCAGAGCAGCCCTGGACTCTGGCTATGACCCAGGCCACTCTCCTGTTGCTTTTTCCCAGCCTCCCATTGCTGCTTTATTTTCCCTCTTTGTGAAAGCTATAAGATATACATCAATGCAGCAAGCAAGGCTCGGACTGTCCATCTCCCTGACCCAATCTCTGTCCTTGCTCTGTGACTACCTCCGAAGCTCTGCCCACAAACACTAGCAGTCAGTCAGTTCTCAATCCACACGCTCCCTCATAGCCACAGGGAAGACTGCACCTGGGCCTTCTGTTTGTCCCCATCTTAGCCTCCCTGGCCAAGATGCCACTCCTTGAGTGGCTCCCCACTCCACCCATCCTAGCCTCCCTAGGCCACTCCATTCTCATGTGGCCTCACAAAAGATCCAGGTCTTCCTTGACTGAGACTCTCTGAGGCTTGGGCTGCTCCCTGGACAGCACAGACCATGTAGTCTATATTTTAGACTGCTGCTCTGCAGTGGAAAATACAACTAACAAGAGAACCCCAGCCAAGGACATCCCTGAGGGAAAGGGCTTAGCTTATCCCAAGATCCTTGTAGGAAATGCCCTTGCTTAGTGGGGTTCTGAGCCTCCACACCCCCATATCACTCTTGAGCCATGATTGGAGTAGACCTGTGCTCCCTTCATACCAAGACTTCATGCCAAGCCTCAGATCTCGCCATAGGTTTGACTCTTGTTTTATAGCAGCTGCAGTAACAAGTGCCCAGGGTCCCCGAGGTCAATCACATCAGAAGCCTTGGTGAGGGGGCCACCCAGGAGGAGCAGGGGAAGGAGGGACATGAAAAGAAGCAGTCTCTGGTGGCCCCCTTCCTGTCTTTGGCAGTCATAGCTGGGCCAGGGAGGGAACCCTAGCAGTGCACTGGGCACTACCATGGCCCTTCATGGAAGGAACTGGAAAGCTCTGCATGCCTCTATGGCCAGGCAGGCACAGCCAGGATGACTCTTCTCAGAGACCTGACCCTGAGGCCTGGGGTTCTGGGGTCATCTCAGTGATGAGTGCTGAAGTCATAGAGCTTGGTGCATCCAAGGGTCACAGGATGGGGTCTGAGCCATTCCAGTTCACAGAAGCCCCCTTCCACCTACAAGAGTGATAGGAGAGAGTGTTAGAGCTGTAGGGGCCTAAGAAAGAGCTCTGTCTCTGAGGCTTTGAAGACTCCACCCTGAGTACTGGCTTTCTACTCTCACCCAACCCAGACATCCATAGGAAATGCAGAACACAGGCACCCAGGGCTCTGGCAGCAGTGGGGAAGATGGTGGTGGTAGGTGATTTGTTCATTTGTGTCACAACTGACTGTGCCTGGTGCTGTGGCTCTCTGCAGATGTGACTGCTCCAAGCACATCTAGATCCAGCTCCTTCCTTTCAGAGGTACCTGTTAAACCTCCCAAGGTGCAGGAGGAGATCCAGTGATGGAGCCGGAAAGGCAAGGAGAAAGAAGCAAGAGACGCCTGGGAAGCTAGTGGGGCTTCATAAACATTCTGGGCTTTTCTTTGACGGTCACAGGAAGCTAGTGAAGGGCTGTGAGCACCACAGGAACAAGACAGCCTTTGAAAATCTGCATTACGAGCCTTAAGAAGCAAGCATTAAGTTGATGCATGGCAGTCAGAGTGAGACACTTTAAAAGCATCTTGGTTCCAACTTAACAGTTATTGTAGGTAAGGCCATGAGATTTCCTACCACTTTTTCCTAATCCATAGTGCTGATTTTTTAAACAACTGAGAGGAATCCTATTTACAGCAGATGGAGAATTTATGTAATTTATGGAAGTGCATTCTGCCTATATGTGCATCCTAAGACTGTATGAACTAGAACACAGATGTTGCTTGCTCAAGAGCAAGGTAGGAGACTGGGGCTTAAGAATGTTTTAGAAGAGCATGAGGTTCTGGGAGGGAACCATTATCTTGTTTTCAAAACCAGAAGTAAAGTCATACCCTAAAACTGTCACAGGCAGAGAAAAAAGAAGATATGATTTGAATCTGAAGGGTTCCCCAAAAGCTTGTGTTTGGAATGCTTGTTTCCCACTCGGTGATATTATTTTGGGAGGCTGCGGTATGTTTTGGAAGTGAGATCACTAGAAGTAGGCCTCTGGAGATGACACCCAACCCCTGGTTCCTGTGAAACTCTCTGCTCTCTGGTCCATGACATGAACATCCTCTGATACATGTTGTCACCACCAAAACCTACCATGCATGCCTTCTTCACCATGATGAACTGAAATCCTTAGAAACTGTGAGACAAAATGAAAATCTTTCCTCCCTTAAATTGCTTCTGTTAGATACTGTGGCCATGGATGCATGAAAGCAACTAAAACACATGGTTCCCTATGCACAGATTCAACAATCCGTAGATCAAACAACAACCTGTACTAAGCATGTACAGCCTGGGTTTTTTTATTATTCTCTAGGTGATACAGTATGTCTTAGTTTGTTCTTCATTGCTGTGACAAAATACTCTGACCACTACCAACTTAGAGAAGAAAGGGTTTATTTAGCTTACATATCCTGGGTCACAGTTAATCCAGGAGCCCAAGGTAGGAACTCAGGGAAGGAACTTGGAGGCAGAAGCTGGAGCCCAGGCCATGGAGGAACACTGCTTACTGGCTTTCTCCCCTGGCCCCTGCTCAGCCTGCTTTCTTATGCAACACAGGCCCACCTGCCCAGGGGTGGCACCACCCACAGTGGGCTGGGCCCTCCGACATCATTCATCAAGAAGATGCCCCTTAGATATGGCCACAGGCCAGTCTAATAGAGGCAATTCCCCAACTGAGGCTCCCTCAACCCAGGTGTGTCAAGTTGACACTAAAGCTATCCAACACACAGTATAAAAAGTGTTTGCATCATATTAGGTATTATAAATGATCTAGGAGTGACTCTAGAGAGGCTGACTAGACTCCAGTGGATGAATCTGCACCAAGGGGCATCTAGGTTCAAATGCTTGACGGAATAGGTCTTGGCATAGATGATATAATACATGAAATCCAGTGGGGGGAGATCTAGAGGTGGTGCAGATGGGGAGGGGTCTAAATACGATTAAGATCTAGTGTATGAAATGCACAAAAATGCAATAAAATATACATAAAAAATAAGTGATCCAACAATTAAACTATACAGGAGGCTATGTGTAGGCCCTATGTAAATATTATGCCATGTCACAGAGGGGATTTACACATGCCTGGATTTTGGTATGCTCAAGGATCCTGGAACCAAGTCCCCATCTATATGGAGTGGTGACTGGATAGTTCATCACCCCAGCATCACTTGTGTTTATTAACCCAGCCTCCACTGTACCCACCCTCCTTCCTCCACGTCTCTAGTTTTTAGGTTGAAAATGAAATAATTCCAGAGGCATCAGGATTCAGCTCACTCTAACCTTCTAACTCACTTTCCTGTTAGCTGTAGGCAACTTCTTGGTAGATGCAAAAGTATATTTTCCCCTGTTGCGTAGTTTGTACATTTTATATCATTCCTTTGCCCATCAAAGGAACAAACACATTTCTTGCCATATGGAGAAAAAGACAAAAACAAAAACCAAATTCTAGTGGCAATTCTGAGCCTCTTCCTTCCATGGAGGAACAATTAACATCACATTCTTCTTCTGGCTCCACCCAGGACACAACAGGGACAGGACACACTTTGCAAAACTACTGAGGATGTGAGAATGTGATTTCTTCATAGTCTAGACACAAGACAGAGCCATGTCTTAATGTGCACTCCAGCCAGTGTCCCAGGGAAGCTGGATCATCTGTGAAAAAACTGTAAAATACATTCTGCATAAAAGGCTAGAACAGGTGGATGGGAAAAACCAACTCTGCCATGGATGCTGTTTAAGGACCTGCCTCCAAAATTATGTGCTCTCAGCATCATTCGGTGGCATCCAGGGATGCTGAAAGACCTCATCCTGCATGGAATTGAGTGGCTTTTTGGCAGCTAATCCTTTCCTTCCTTGGTTACAGTGAACAGAATGTGCAAAACAATTTTAAAAAGAGATCTTTCAAGAATAAGTGCTGGCTCCGGGGTTAAGAGCACTTGCTGCTCTTTCAGAAGACCAGGGTTCAGTTTCCAACATCCACATGGTGGCTAACTACCATTCATAACTCTCCAGATCCAGGGGGACTTGATGCCTCTTCTGGCCTCTGCAAGCAATCACACATATAGCATACACTCATACATACACATAAAAAGAAAAAATTAATCTTAGAAACAAGAATAAATCCTGGAAGAATGACCTTTGCAAGACCCAATTCTAGTCTAACCTGTGTTGCAAGATGTGGACCAACATGCACTCACCCAGACTCCCTGACCCTTATCATCAGTGTGGGAATCCAAAGGGTCAGCCTATTTCTATTAGATATGGGAGATTAAGTCTCAGTGGTGTCCAGGTGTTTTAGACTATATCCTGAGCTTCTGTGTGTTGGGTAGATCCAGGGGGCTCTATCCAGAGCCTCAGGGCTTGGCCACGTTGATGAAATGTACCCACGTTGTAGCATTCATCATCACTGCCTGAGTAACAGACATTGCCACTGTACTGAGAGGCAACCTGATGTGATTTGGATAAGTTTGACTATTAGGTCCACTGCTGGTATGATTTGGGGTTGAAGTCTCATGATGTCCAGGGGAAGCTATCGCAAGTCCAGTCAGGAGAAGAAACGGCCCCTGTTCTGACGTGCACACTGAACAGATAGGGTGGTCTGGCAGCCGGAAGGCACGGTGATGGTCCCAGATTCTGAAAGCCAGGGCTGTTCTACCTCAGCTATTGTGTTCCTAGGGATTCAGTAATCTACAGCAATGTAATGCAGGCATAGGCATTAATGGATCTATCAAGTTTTGAGATTTTCAATTATCTTTCTGTTCATCATCTTTCCAGTTTTAAAGTGCACCATTAAAATGCTTTTACTATTCTGGTAAGATCTCTACAAGGCATTAAAGTTGTGGCCACTAAGTACATATCCTAAATCCATATTCTCAGATCTGCACTGTCAACCTCTACCCTCCCCACTGGCAGGCCAACCAAAGCTCTCCCACAGGCTCCAATGTACAAAATGGAGCTGGGCTTCAGTGCAACATGAGTCACACTTATCTGCTTCTGGACCATGTCTGTGTCACGCCACTATCACAGAGCCTGACTGACAGGCTGCTGGGTTTATGTTTGGTTTTGTGGTCATTTACAAAGAAAACTAACCTTCCGGCCCAGCCAACAGGTGCAAAGGCACTGGGGAGAAGACATTTGCAGTGGCAGTGGGAAACGAGAGCTAAAATATTAAAATGGCTGAGATACCAAGACAATTGCTCTGAATGGCTGTGGGTCAGTTACAATGGCAAGTGAGCAATTAAGACAGCAGAGAAGCAGAGGGTTGATAGGGAGAAGTCAGCCTGCAGTGAGGGTCAGCGCCTTGGGCTCCCAACTCCGCTAACTCGGGAGGCAGTCAGAGTGGATACTTCAGAGCACCTTGGCACTGTATAGCTCTTAGCCTATTCACTGTGGGACATTTATTACATTTCCCTTGGGTTGTAATAGTTGAAAGTGTCCGAAAACCGCGAAATAATCCCACAGGTGCAACACCAGGACCAGCAGCTTAGCCCTCTCCATGTTGATGCTAGTTCTAAACTCAACTGCTAAGCTAGTAGTGGAGTGAATGGGCCAAACGTGACCCCCAGGACAATCACTGCAACAGAGAGGCAACTTCAGCATGAACAGATTCAGACTTCAGATTAACCTGACGTATTTTATGCAGGGCAAGAGCCCACACAGGGCCCTAATCAATGAGAAGATGGCAGGCGTGGTCTCAAAGCTCTGGACTGCAGCAAGTGCACCCAGGGATCCTCTTGTTGGTTACTTTCCACCTGTGCACAAGCTTCTGCCCCTGCACTCAGGCCATTCAGAACCAGAGGTGGCTCTAGAGCCAGTTGTTGGCTCCCACCAAATGTTGCCTTGGCCAGTGTCCACCTCCTGGCCCACCTACCCTCCTCTAGGGTCAGATCCAGGTCTTTGGCAGAAGAGACCACCTGGGGAGGGACCCTTAGCACCTGTACTAAGTTCAGACAGGCAGGACTAATATCTGTTCCCCAGAGTTCTGAGGTATGAGGACATGCCCCACCCCGGCTGCTCTTACTGGATATCTGCTTAGGTCAGAGCGCACTGTACTCCCAGACCCCCAGTAGGGAAATCTAGGTCTTTATTCACTCTTTGCTCTTCTTCCCTTTGACACCAATGATCACAAACAAAGTCCTGCTATGAGCCAATGTACTGTCTTGTATATAACTCTATGCCTTCACCCAGGCCCTTGACTCCAGATGCCCCCAACTGATTCTTCTGCTTTTCCTCACAGGTTCAGGGCCCCTTGAAAAGGGTTCTTCTTTCTCACAGCAGCCTAGGGAAGGGATCATGATGTCTGACTGATAAATTCAGGAAGACAACCCATACACAGTGAAGAGCCAGGGCAGAGTGGGAATGTGTGGACAGACACCAGATGTGGGATACTAGGGGGTTCCCCTTCTATGGGTGAGGCAGGGGTGTCAGCAGGAGGGAAGAGAGGTGCCTAGGTGGGCAGGGTACCCCTGAAGGAGGTGGGTGCTCTCCCAGGCCTCAAAGGCACCGATCCAGGCTGAACTACGGTTTTAATTTCTTGTCTGAGCCTCCAAACAGAAACATCTGGGCCCTAGCCCCAGGCCCGGTTATGAGTTCTTTCCTCTTCTCTCTGGCCTGTTGACAACTGTTTCATTTTCTCTCAGTCCAATGTGGGTGGAAGCCTGGGAGAGGTCAGCGTGTGCCTTGTTTGGAAATGACCCTCAAAGACTCTGGTTTGGTTAACATGGTTACAGAACAGGGGGTGGCAGGAGATGGACCCCACATTCCTGACACAGCAAAGGTAACAGAGATTTAGAGACTGAGCTGTGTGTCACACTAAAGAGCAGGGATGGTGCAGGGACCTTGGGATGGTTCTAATTAGGATGCTTTTCTCTGAAGACAAAACCCGCAGTCTGGGCCTGTGCAAAGTCTCTGTGATAACAAAGCCAAGTGGCAGGAAATCACACTGCCCTCTCGGTAACCTTCCACTGGGCTGGGACGATGATGGTCTACGTTGCTGGGGACTCGAGGTGTAGCTGGGGCACAGACCTCCATACCAGAGAGCCCCCCCACCGCCCATCTATGAAAGAAAGGGCTGGGTCTGGTAGTGCCTGGGGAACTTTCTGTAGAGCCAAGCACATTGCCAGATGACCAGGTATGTGGTGCCTTCATGCAGAGTCAGTGGTAGGTCATGCATCTTGCAGGTCAGCAGGGCAGGGTTTAAGGGTGAGAAGTCATCTTCCCTTGGATTTGACTAGGGTGGATTCTGACTTCCATTTGATTGTGAACTCTCTGAGAATGGTTACCAATTCTTCTCCAACTGTTCTTTCTGTGGATTCCTGATTCCATGAGAGCTCTCATGACAGAAAGGAAACCCCACCTACCCACTGAGTGTTCCATCTGGCCATTTATCCCACACATGCACAGGATGACAGTGAGCGCTCTGTACCATCTTACCAAGTGTTAAGAATCTGACTTCTGTCTTGGTAGTGACTTGAATGTGGGCTATGGCACCATGTGTACACTAAGGCAGGTTTACAGGCAGTAGGACTTGCCTCTCTCCCCACGCCCAGAAATGACACCATTCTAGGGTTCTCAGAGTGACCTCAGAGGCTACTTTCCCAAGTTTTCCCTTTGAGATGTCTGAGAATCTTCTGTGAAAACAAAATTCAAAGCCTTTGTAATTCAACTCCTTGGAACAGGATTCCTGGGCTGCTGTTTCCCATGACAGGGGCATGTTATCTGATGGGTCAAGGGGGACAGGGACTCAGCCATCTCACTCTTCACTCACCCACTCAGCTTTTGGTAGAATAATTCTGGGAAAGTTCCACCATGGTAACTGGCCAAGTAGACCCACCATGTGGGCATGGTGAGGAAGTCAAGCAGGCAGAAATCTGGTATTATGAAGAGCGTCTCCGGGTCCTTGGCTATGATGCAGGACACTGGAGTTTTGGTCCCTCCCTTAGTAACTGACTCTCACAGGCTGGTTCACAGGGCAGACAGGAAGGGAAGGGAAGGCCCTTACACACTAGAACAGCACACGTTTTTTTTTGAGACAGGGTCTCCCTGTAGCCCCAGCTGGCCTAGAACTTGCTATGTAGACCAGGTTGACCTTGAATTTGCAAAGATCTGCCTGTCTCTGCCTCCCAAGTGCACTTAAGTGTACTTGGGGACTGGAGAGATGGATCAACAGTTAAGACTGTTTGCTAAACAATTATGAGGGTCAGGGTTCAAATCCCAGCACCCAGATAACAAACTAGGCATCCCACATACACCTGCAACTCCAGTTACAAGTGGGACAGAGACTGGAGTAGCCTAGCCAAGAAAACATGAGCCCCCCCCCGTTCAAAGAAATACATGGAAAATGATAGAGGAGGGCACTAGTCACCTTCTTCTGGCCTCCAGAGCATGCATAGGTACACACAACACATACATGTGCATATACACTCACATATGTGCAAACACAAATCTGTTTTAAAAACCAATTGAGTTTGCATGGATCTTGTGTGTGCTGTCACTACTGCTGTAATCACATAAGTTCCAGAGCCAGCATAAAAGTAGGGAAATGGGCAGGAGGCCCCAACCTTAGCCAAGGAACTATTGGCAGCTGATTGCTGCTTGATGAGGGAGAGTTGGTCTTTTAGGGAGTGACACTGGATAGGTTAAACAGGCTTCAGTGAATAAACTCAAACTGAGGGACAGCTGGGTACACAAACTTGACTTGATAGGCCTTAACATATATGACAGAATGCATGAAATCTGGTAAGAGGCCATAGGGGTGTGTGTGTGCAGATAGGGGGTCTAAATATGATTAAGATATATTATATGAAATGTATAAAAATTAAGTTAAAAAATGTATTGAAAAGAAAAGCGATCCTGGGCTATATCATTGGCAGCACTCTGGAACTCTACAGAAATTCTCATCTTCAGGTCCCACCACAGACCTGGGGTGTCAGAGGCCTGGGGTGGCCCCCAAGGTAGCCCTGAGGGTCAGGTCTCACATATTCTTCGGAGGCTGGAGGACTTCAGCTCTGGAGTGAGACTTCCCTCGGGTGAGCCGGGAATTGACATGGCTTTTGCCTGGTCATCTGGAGGATGGATGGTGTCTAGGATCTCAGCATCCCTAAAGCCCAGAAGCCCTAACCCAATATACTGCAAAAATAGTTCTACTTCCCCTCTGTGATAAGCACTGGGGAAGCACTGCTGAGGACACCAGGGCTCTGCCTCATCCAAGCCCTGGACAGGGAGCAGCAGTGAGGGTAGGGCAAGCCTAGGTCCCACTTCCTAACTCAAGCATCCTCTCCAGCTTCCTTCATCATGGGTCACTGGGGTGGAGGGGGGAGAGCAGTCCCTAGAGAAAAAAGCGCCAACAGAAGAGGTCCAAGCTGACCTTCAGTGACTGGCCTGAACTCAATGCCAGCCAACTCAGGGCAAGAGGCTGTTTCTCAACGCAGGCCGGAATCTTGAGCCATTCTCAAACAACTGCCCATCAGGACTGAGCCCAAAAAGCCCAGTCAGGGCCAGGCTGGGAGATGCTTAGGCAGTTAGGAACGGTCTATTATCGAAAGAAGGCAGTGGGAAGATTAAGGGGTGCTACTAATGGGGCAGGGGTACAAAGACAGTCAGGAAAAGGCCCCAAGAAGTGTCCCAGTGGTCTGGAGGTAGCAGAGGCTGTGGTAGCACAAAGGACACCCTGTGGCTTCCTACAGTGCCCTGAACTGAGTGCCAAGGCCCGTGTTACCTCCTTTCCCCTTCAGAGCCCTTCACTCATCACCTTGAATGAGTGGCCCTTTGTACATGAAAGGACAGCGACCTGCAAGTGCCCTTAATTCTCCGATGAAAGCGACCAGCCCGTGACTCTGCAGGAATGTTACATGGGGGGAGGAAGGGACTGGCACATGAGGATATGCTTGTGGTCCTCCCACTTCCCCTTCCTGATGTGTCCACGGTGCCAGAGGAGGCCTTGCTTTCTTCCTCAGTCCCATTCAGACTTGCTTGCTTGTAAGGGGGCAGCACCCCTGGGTTCCAGGTGTGCCAGCTGCATCTCAGGTAGTCAGAATCTCAGGGTCAGGCTGTGACCCTGGCCCTAGCCATCTCGAAGACAGGGAAACAAACTCCTCTTGAGACTGCACCCAATCATGAGTGCCTGGGACCATCACAATGAGAGTTAGTGTTAGAGAGCATTCATCAATGTCCATGTGGATGCCGAGCTGCCAGTGTCCCCACTTTATAGAGTCAGACAAGTGAAATCCATCCAGTAGCTGACAGCCAGCCTGCAGCCTGGTAACAGAACCCATGTGCAGAACTGTTACAACATGCACTACTCCCTGGAAAATGGAACTGGAATCTTGGTCCTCCCTTTCCCACTGCCTCCCCACTGTACACTGAGGTCTCCTGCTTCAAGCTTTGAGAAAAGCCAGTGGAATGGGCCAGGGGCTTTTAACAATGATAGCCCATAGGCCTTCTAGAGCGCAGCCCCCAGAATGGGCCTCAACAAATAACTCAGGAGGAAAAGGACCAGGCTTTCCCCACCTCCAGTCTGGGCCAAAACCTCCTCTGAATGCAAAGGGTCTGGGTCAAGGAACCCCAAGTGCTGTAGAGACAGGAGTATCTCTGTTCAGTGTATAGAGTAGCCAGGACTACCCTACACAGGGCATGGGATGGTGCTGCTGCTGTAGGCCGCCGCTTCCCATCACACCCTGGCTGGCCAGCCCACTCCCTCCTCCAGTCCTATTTTAGCCTCCTGCCAGTGAGCAACCTCTCCCTCAGCCCATGGAAACACTTGCCTATGCACAAGTACCCAGTTCAGTGTCTTTCCAACTCCAGGGTCTTACCTTGCCACATCCCTCTGGATCAAGCCTCCCAAGAAGTTACTGTTTCTGCCTACAGGCCCAATGCCCCCAACCAATCACATCCCAGCCTCTCAGGGTGAACTTGGAAAGCCAGAGGCAGCCCACTCACTTGGTTCTGATGCAGAGCTCCAGTGGAGGGACAAGGTCCCTGCGGCTGTCCTCCGGGAAGGTCTGCATGGTATCTGGGGAGGAGGGAAGGAAAAGTACACATGCCATCTCAGGGCTGTGCACTCACTGAGGCCAGTCAGGCAACTCCAGACTAGACCAGCCCTATTTACCATGCCCTCATCTCCATCGTGACTAGATCTACCTTCCTTCTTGGTTGTCAAATCTCACCTGCACAGCTCACCTGCCTCTTACCTCTAGCCTCCACCTCACCCGTGTCGTGCTTCAGTTATCACAATATTCTTCCTAAAAATGCATCTGACCTCATCACTCTTCTGCTCCAAAACCTTCCATGACTCCCCATGGCTTTAAAAACAAATGCAAATAGGTCAGCAAAGCTTTCAGGGCTCTTGCCATGTGGTCTTAACTTCACCTTCCACTTTTAATGCCACCAAGCATTCAAGGCCCACCTGTGGCCCCCTCTTGTGGTAGGACCAGGCTAGCATCACTCTCTGGCTACCTGACTTTCCCAAGAAGGCAGGTTAGGGCTGGTTCTGGGGCGGCCTGGAGGTTTTCTGTGGAGATGGCTTAGGGTTTCTCACCGATAGTCAGCCGAATCTCCTCCTGCTGGTTGGCGAGGCCATCATAGTAGTACAGATCAAAGACACGCTCAGCCCTCCAGTCAGACAGGAGCTCCAGCTTCAGGCTGAACAGGACGCTGAAGTGGCTCTCACTGTACACCACCCAGATAGGGAACCGTGGGGTTTTCAGAAAGCAGCCAACCTGAAGGAGGGAGAGACACGATGCAATGTGCAGACCAGCCCATAGCAGGCTGGCCTCCCACAGATCCTGAGGGTCATGCTAGGAGTCCTTCGTGCTGCCCGTACTACAGGTCCATCTCCCAGAGCTCTCTAGTCCACAGCAAGGAACACAGGACACTGTGTAAAGGCTGCTTCTCTTCGCCCACACCCACTGGTTCCAAGTGAAGCCCATGCCACAGCCTGGTCCCCTCACTACCTCTCCCACACCATTCACCTGAGGCTTGGCCATGGCCTCCTGATTCTGATCACACTCTGACCTCCTCTCTGAGAGTAGCAGCACCTCCTCTTTCTGGCTCGTGGGAGCATATCTCTTAGTAACTGCCCCCTTGACCACAGTACCTCAGTTTACCACTTACCTTGTGACACCACGCAACCCCCGCCCCTGCCCCTACCAAGAGTCAGCCCAATGTGTGAATAAATGGTGGAGAAATGAAGGTCCTTAGGGATAAAGCTGGATTTGTACTAGAACTGTACCTTGAAGTGAGGACTGGGAGCCCTGGGGAGTCAGGGAAAGGGTCTGGGTGAGCAGCCTGGGATGTTGGGGTGAATGGCTGAGAAATTCAGGGAATGGCAGTGGGTTATTCAGTAAAGGGAACCTGGAGGACAAGGCTGGAGCAAGAACCCTCTAATGGGGACTCTGAAAAGTCCACAGACAGGGACGGCTGGCTGGGGGTGTCTGGGAGCAGACAGAATACCATGGAATAGGCACCAAGGCCCTCAGCACACTGCTACGTTTCCTGCAGGGATGACTGACCAATGACCCCCTCTATGCACTCTCCCTGTCCCGAGAATGCCCCTGACAATGCCTCTCCCACTAGCCCTGGTTTATCCAACTGTGTCATGCTGGCTGATTTTGGCCTAATCCTCAGCAGTCCCCGGGAGATATTTGCTGCTCAGGTGTTTACAGCCTCTGTTGTGGATTAAGGAAAGAATGGTAGTTATTTTTCCAGTAGGGAGAAGGGCATACTTTCTCCAGGGCCCGCCACAGAAGAGGAACTGGGTGGCTCCCACCTCAGGCTGATCCTGGGCTAGTGGTGCCTGGGACAAGCAGACTGCTCAGAAGGTCCCCAGTCAAGGATCTGCCTATTAAAGTGGTAGGTAGATATGTATCGCTCTCTTACCCAGGATGAGCCTCTTCCATCACTTCAGCGGCTCTCCTCTTAGCCCTTGTGACAGGCTTGCTCTTCCCAAGGTGTGGGGCATCTGAGCATACCTAAACCTGCCTAACCCCACTATAAGCCTGGCTTCCTTTCTGTGCTCAAAAGAGGCTTTTCTTGGGAGGCACCACCTGTAATGGACACCTAGAAGACAGACACAATGCTCACTCACAACAGGGAGGGAGAGAGCCTAGAGCCAGTGGGGGCAGGCCTGGGCACCATCAGCCCCTGAATTTTCCAGCCAAGGCCCACAGGGCAGCTTGCCATTTATAAACAACAGTCAAAAGATTAAGAGCAAAACAGCTGCCCAGGGGGCTTATAAATGAGTGTTCTTATTCTCAAGCCTCTTCCATGGATGACATTTTCCAGAGAAATTAACTTCCTTTGGATTCTCAGGGAAGTGGGAGCACCATTCCCTCAGTGCAGGCCAGGCTGTCTCCTCTTTGTAGCCACATCAGGGGTTGCTTTTGTTTATTTTTGTCATGCTGACATGTTTATTCGTTTTTAGTGCTGTGGACTGAATGCAAGAGGCCATGATAAGTGTGTTTCTTCCACTGAACACTCCTAGCTATGGGAATTTTACTTATGGAATGCTTTACAAATTCTTCCATATTGATGAGAACACGTGCACTACCAGTTTCAAGGAACATCATACAAGCCAGTAATAACTGCCTTGACCATGACCCAATCATCAGCATGCAAAATTCTGTGATTGCAGATGGACTGTAGGATAGATTTCTCACTAGAACAGCTTCCAGAGTTGAAGGTTTTAGGTCAAGGATCATATTTTTTGTTTTGTTTTTAAAATTATGTGTATATGTGTATGTACCAGTGTGTAGGTATTTGCACATGTGTGCAGGTGCCTGCAGAAGCAAAAGGCGTTGGGTCCCCCAGGAGCTGGAGTTACAGGATGTGGGCGCTAGAACTGATAGAGCCCTCTGGAAGGACAAGAGCTTATCTGCTGAGTCTCTCCAGCCCCATGATTTTGTTTTTGAAATTTACTATGTCAAGTTTCCCTTGAAAATGTATGTGGCCATCAACGATGCATGAAAGGACCACTTTTCCTCACACTCTCAGAAGCTTTTTCTATTTTTTCTTCTCTTTCTTGTCAATTTGCTTAACAAACTGCAATGCTAATTTAATTTGCATGTCCTGATTGCTAGTGCGATGTGAGCAACTTTTCAGGTCACAAGAATGCATCAGACATCTAGATATTTTTTTGTCAAATGAATAACCAATTGCTACTAATTTCTGTGTTTTTCTTGTTTGGGATTTGTGCTGGATACCTTTAGTGTCAACTTGACACACCTGGGTTGAGGGAGCCTCAATCGGGAATTGCCTCTATTGGACTGGCCTGTGGCCATGTCTGAAGGGCTTCTTCTTGATGAGTGATGTGGGAGGGCCCAGCCCACTGTGGGTGGTGCCACCCCGGGCAGGTGGGCCTGTGTTGCATAAGAAAGCAGGCTGAGCAGGGAACAGGGGAGCAAACCAGTAAGCAGCCTTCCTCCATGGCCTGTGCTCCAGCTCACTGTCCTGAGTTCCTACCTTGGGCTCCCTGATGAACTGTGACCCAGGAGATGTAAGACAAATAAACCCTCTCCTCCTCAAGTTGGTAGTGGTTAGAGTGTTTTGTCACAGCAACGAAGAACAAACTCAGACAGACATTGGTACCAGAGAGTGGGATATTGCTGTGACAGACCTGAACTTGGTGTTTTTGGGAGGACTGTGGAAGTGTTTGGAACTTTGGGCTGGAAAAGCCATTGCATGCTCAGAGTTTGTTGCTGTGGAGCTTGGAACAGTTATGCTGAAAGAGTTGTAGACGATGGAGACCTGGCTTGTAAAGCTTCAAAGGGAAGTAGAGACTATCAGGGCTGTTCATGTGAGATTTTAGATTGAGAATCTGTGGGTTCTGGTTGGCTGGGGCTGAAGAATCAGCTGTGATTAAGAAGAGACCAGAACCTGAAGCAAAACCTTTGCTTTACTGGGACAATTGATGCTGGTTAGCTGGGGCTGAAAAATCAGCTGTAAGTTAACAAGAGACCAGCATCACTGTGGTCGAGTCTTCTGGGAAGTATTTCCTCAGGGTCAACACACAGAGGGGAACTGCACCTCTATTTCAAGCTGGAAACAGGACTTGGTAATGTGTAAGAGTCTCCAGCATGGTTCTGGTGTTGAAAGCGTGAAGGGGTCATAGAGAGCAGCTGAGGCTTGGCACTCTGAGAGGCCAGGAAAGGCCATAGGTGAAAGTGCAGCTTCAGTTGCAGCGAAGACCCCAGAATTGAAGGGGTCATGGAGAGAAACTGAGGCTTTGCACCCAAGAGGCAAGAAGAGGCCATTGGCGAAGGTGTAGCCTCAGTTTCAGTGGCGACCCCAGCTTTTTGGAGATGCCGGGACCATGTGATAACCACCAAGGACAGCGGCAGGTGTGGCATGGAGCTGGCCTGGGTTTGCGAGATGAGCTGAGCATGCTGTGGACTGCAGAGTCAGAGCAGTGGAGCTGCCAGTAT